TACTTTCACATAAGTTATGGAGTTTCAAGGTGGGAAGGATGGAGGTTATGTGAGCAGACAAGATACTGGACCTCTTTGATTAATCCTACGATTTTAGGAAGTACTCATAAATTGTGCAGGAAATCAGACTTCTAAAATTTCCACCTTCTTTTAGGAATTCCTTCAGCTCTTGAGAAGAAAAATGGAAGTCAGAAACTGATAGTGATTTTCTGAGGCAGAGAAAAACAAGTGATTTATACATGATTCAGAGGTCATGTCATATCCATATGTAGAATTTCCTTTCCTTTCACATTGCACATTTTGAGTAAGTCACCATACTCTGCTCCTTTCTCTTTTTTCTCTGCTGTTCTCATTATGCATATGCTACACCTTTTGTTGTCCCACAGTTCTAAAATATTCTGTTCATCCTTGTCCCCTTTCTCAAGTCTTTTTTCTTTTCTTTTCAGTTTGGAAGTTTCTACTGATGTGCCCTAAAGCTCACTGATTCTTTCCTTAGCTGTGTGTGTAGTCTACTAATGAACCTGTCAAAGGCATTCTTTATTTCTGTCACAATGTTTTTGATTACTAGCATTTATTTTTATTCTTTCTTAGAATTTTCATATCTTTGCTTACAATTATCCATCTGTTCCTGCTGGCTGTCTACTCCTCCCCTCCCCCATTAGAGCCCTTAGCATAGTTGTTTTAAACTCCAAATTTGATCATTGCAATACCATTGCCTTACCCGAGTCTGGTTCTGATGCTTGCTCTGTCTCTTCAAAGTATGTTTTTGCCTTTTAGTAGCACTGAGATTTTTAAATGGAAAGACAGACATGATGTACCACGTAAAAGCAATTGAGTACCGGTTCCTGCAGAGGTTTCTGCTCATGGGTTCCTAGTGTGGCAAATTGTAATTCTCGTATCGACCTGTTTGTAGCTCCACTTTTGAGGATAGTGGTTTGCTCTGTGACCTCACCGCTCTGAAAGATCTAAGAAGAGTTGTTGATTTTTCAGTTTGTTGAGATTTTTAATTGTTGTTAGGATGGACTGACAATTGCTAAGTTCCTTACATGCCAGAGTAGAAACTGGAACTCTTCTGTCTATATTCTTTAATTGCAGGAATTGGAAACCTCTGGCTAACTTAAGGGAGGAAAAATAAAAATAATAAAAAGAAATCATTTATTTGCGGCTATGGGGTAGCTCACAGAACTGCATAAAGACATACAGGAGAGTCATGGAAAATTCGGAGTTCAGAGAAGCTCTGCACTTGCAGGCCGACCTTGGATCCTGTGCTCACCCACACCCAGGAGAGCAGACCCACCAGTTCAGTAGAGAGGTTCTTCCTAAAAGAAAATTCAGGGTGTTTCTAGAAGGAGCAGGGGGTTTGCATGACAGAAATGAGGACCTTTGTCCAGGGAAGGAGGAAGCTGAGCCGCTGCTGAAGTTCTGGCGCTCTCCTGATCGCTTCCCGCTGAGATGGAGGGCCTCAGTTGGATGTTTAGATCAAAGACTCGTCCAATGCCTGTGTAATTTTGGAATTCTGTATTTGCCTATATTTAGTAGATTTTAGGTATTAGGAGCTGGATTTCTATGTGAAAATTATATAGACTGTACTGATATGTGGGAATGCTGCTTACTGTTTCACTTAACGTATATTCTAAGAATTCGTGTTGTTGCTCCCTTTATCTATTTTAAATTGACATTAAGGAATAAAGAACTCTTAGGTAATTCTCTTCCTGTTTTTTTTTTCACTTTGAAATAGATCCAAACTCTGTGAAGAAGCTGCCTGATATAGAACCTGCTTTGTCTTCCAAGGAAAACTGAAGGTAAAATTTCAGACATCCAGCAAACTGCTTACGAATAATTAGTTTGGAGAATAAGGAGTAATGGCTTCCCATTTCTAGCCATCATTTCCTGCTTTCCTGTTGTACCAAATGGGGTTCAATCACAGAGAACAGAATCCACTCAAGCTACTTAAGGCAAAAGGGGATTTATTAACAGGCATTGGTTGGCATCCACATCCACTGGAAAGACTGCAGGAGTAGGCTCAGGGTTGAGCTTCCCAAAACAGTAATCACAAAGCCCCTGCTGAGTCAGAGAGCTGCTAGGCAGTGGCAGAGTGAAGATGCTGACTATTTCCTTAAAGTGAATGAGTGCAGATGGGCTGTGTTCACGCTCTGAGCGAACTGACCTCAGGCATGAAGAAGGGAAAAAGGACCAGCAAAGGAGACTGTGAGAGGGTAAGATGAGGGGTGGGAGGAAATCCAGGAGGTCACACCAGCCAAGGGAAGACGTTCCTGAGAAAGAGTAGGGAAAAAAGATCTAAGAAATGGCCGTCCGTCAGGAAGGCGGTTGTTAGAAATCTTGTAAGAACCGTTCTAGTGAGATTACTGACTACAGAATGCAGTGGGTAACGGAGTGAGTGGGCAGTGGGAAAACGGAGACACTGGACGCCACTCCTGCAGAAAGTCTGGCTGTGAAGAAGAGGAGCGTGTGTGATGGCGGAAAAAGGGTAGCTTTCTCCTTTTGGGAGATGGGGGAGACCAGTAGCACATTTAAAAGTGTTCATAGGAGGAATCCTATCGAGTTGAAGTAGTTGGACATACAGGATAACAATGGGGAATAGGTAGAGTGTGATTTCTGAACAGATGGGAAGTGGTGGGGTCAGAGACTTGAGGAGAGAGTATGGGTGGGAGGGTCAAAGGTATGAAATACCTGAAGTGGAGAACAGGAGAGAAAGCAGTTCAGGCAACACAGAAGGGTAACTGTGCAGCATTAAGTCCTCATACACAGTTCTGTACTTTAAAAATGAAGTATTTCATGTATCTTATATACAGATCCTAAAATGTAGCACTCGCTTAGTGAAGGCAGAATGGGGGCTGTGTAAATCTTATTATTGTGGCTGGAAGGTTACAAACCTTGTGGATCAGTTAAGATGCTTCCAATTACAAGGAATAGATAGAACTTAAACTAGATTGTAAAATAAAGGGAATTTATTGCCTCACATAAGAAAAAGTCCAAAAGTGGGTGGGCTTCAGGCATAGGTTGACCAAGGCTTCCTTTGTGATTTATTCTTTTGGTCCCATTCCATGAGCTGGCTTTATTCTTATCCTGGCTTACCTCAGGGTTACACTTTGGCAACATCAGCTAGGGCTGAGGATCTCAGGTGGGGGCATGGAACTATGCAGGAAGAGTAGGGGCTATGCCGTGGCGGGGGTCCCTGTGTTCTGCCTTCCTCCTTTCATTTAATCTTTCACCATTTCTTCCTTTGCCAGGACCTAACAAACAGCCAGATAGTAAGGGAGCCTAAAATAACTAATACAGAGCAGATGAGGGAAAGGATTGGGAATGGTTCTTAAGGCAAATAGGCAGATGCTGGACAGGCTGAAGAGTTACTGGGTGGCCAAAGTGAGAGCAGTGATGGAGCAAGGTAGATAGAAGTATTTCCGGCACACAGACCCTGAGGAGCTCATCTCACTACCAGGTGGAGGATGGCTTGTTCTTCCTCAGCCTGAGGATGTGGTGGCTGCCATGCACTGGTGACACAGCACACTATTAAAAGTGGATGCTATTCTGAGTGGCAGTTTGCCTCTCAGCAGCCCAGTTCTCTGCCACTGTAGAGTGAGGAACTTGGGGTATAGCTGAATGTCTCAGTTAGCCACATCCTGACCTGAATGAGAGGAATTCACATCACAGGGAGATCCCGGGTGCTGGGAACTTGCTGCAGTTTTAAGTGAGGATTTGGGATTGATTTTGGGGAATGGGACAAGAACACGTAGATTACACGAGTAATACTTGTATTATATTAAGGGCAACATGTATGGAAAGGAGGGTGTGGGTTAGCTAGTCAGGCGCTGGGCTATGGTTACTACTGCTTGGGGCTGCTGGCACTTTTCTCCTTCCTCCTTCTGTAACCAGGTGCTCCAGAGCTTGGGTGGGAACCCCACATTGTACGGCATTTGGTTTGGACGAGTGCTTTCCATAACACCCATTGGCCCAAACTTCAGTCTCCTAGGAGTTGAGATTTCGGTTGTATGCTTGTGCACCAGACAGCCAAGGGGGTGAATCATGAAATGGACAGCTGTTGTTTTTGTCTGCTCACCCTCCCCTTCTTCGGGAAATTAACCTCTTCCCTCCACATGGTTCTGGAAAGGGCTGCAAATTACTGGCGTTCTCACCCTGACACCTCCAGAGTCTATGTGACCTGAGCTAGGCCAGTCAGAGACTCTCTCCCCGGAATCTGAAATGGGGACAGGTGGGAGAGGGCCAGAACACAGCTGAGGCGGGCTCGCTCGTGCAGGGGGGCACCGGACACTGCTCACTTGGGGAGGGAGTTCCCCGCTGGAATCTGTAGCATTGCCCTGTTGCTGTCTTCCCTGAGGCACCAACTCTGTGCATTCTGGGAGCTCTCCGGTGTTCTTCCCACAAACCGTCTTATGCTTGAGAGATTTTCTGTTCCTAATAACCAAAAAACCCTACCTGAGGTAACAGTAAACATGATTTAAAATTTTAGTAGTCACCATAGAGCTTAAGAAGTGCAGGCAGCTCTCTCTTGCTAGGGCTATTCGGGACAGAGGTACTGTGAATTCACACCCATTGCCAGGGTTCTGGGAATGGCTGTATTGCACAGAAGTCCAGGGACCTTGTGTGCCTTTGGAAAATAGGGAGGTTTAAGGAAAATCTTCATCACTTAGACTGACAAGTATTTCTTGGAAGATACCGTTTCAAAGTAACTCATGAATTTTCTATTTCATTTAACTAAAAAGTATAAAGTAATATACTAAGGGTGCTTCTTCAGGACAAACTTACACTCTTCCCTTCTGCCTGCTGGTTTTTATAAAAAGGATGTTTTTTTTCTTATCATGCTTATTAATGTTATCGTACATACTGTTAATTTAGGAACAGTTTGTTTGCTGAAGGATATCTTCTGAACATACACAGAAGCATATAAATACAGTCCTAAACACTATGCTTACAAATAATTTATTCTTATTTCATACATATTTATCAGCAAAAAAATGTATAGTTATACAGAATTTTATATTCAAGACTGTAGGGAACAAATGTCTCACAAAAGCAAAATCATGGCAAAGTACACAACAGAAGTAAGTCACAAGTTTGTTCAGCTACATTCACAGAACTGACCAAAGTGATACCTATTTCTATGGATTGTTCTTCTTAATTTACCAGGTAATGTGGAATTATGAATAAACAATGCTTGGCAGAATATGCTAATGGTTTGAACCCACATTGTAGCCCCTGTAGGAAAGTTCACAAATCCTGAGAAAATTTTTCTAGCCTGCTAAATGTCGCTGACCAGAATGTATATGATGGCTGGGGCCAGAGCAGCCTAAGAATTAACTTAGCAAGCAGTGGAAAAAATGATTGTTTCTTTCTTTTTCCACACCCGCATTATCCTTTACTCTCTTCTCCCTCCATTATCACCATTAAATGAACTAAAAATATAAAAACGAAAAACCTGTTACCAAAGGATCTCTATACCAAAGGATCTCTATGTGGTCGCTGCAAATCCTCTGTCTGCCTCTGAGCTGAAGGAAAAATTGAGTATGGCCCTTCAGCTAATGCCCTTTACTGCAAAAGGGAACCTGCTGGTTGTACATTCTTGTAAATCTGAGTACAGTAATCATATTTGAATCTTTAGTTTAGAAATGGATGAACCTCATAAGGCAAACAGCTTGAGAAGGCCCAAATAGAATCTTTGTAGAAACCTTTTGTCTTCCAGGCTGAGTTTGTGGAAAGCGGAGGCTTCCAGGGTGGTGTCAGTGGTCTGAGAGAAGGACGAAGTGGAAGGAGTGCACAGCTACTGCAAGTCACAGAACTTCCCCCAGCCCGGCACCTAGCCTGTCCCTGCCCCGGTCTGTGTAGTGATGGCAGGGGGCTTTACTCTTTCCACTCGAGACAAATAAGGAGCAGGGTGTCCAGGGCTGTGCATTTTTCTAGTTACTTTTATGTTATTCACAGTGGTTGTACCCTCATCGAAGTGATCTGTAACCTCAGCCCTTTACTGCCTTGATACTTAGCTGCTTGGAATAATTTTGCTTATAGCCTCCATAACAGAAAACCAGCCTGGTACAAAGTAGATCTGTGCTAAGCCTTGCTGAGAGAGTGACCTTAATGAAGTTTCCAACAAGCATTTTAGAAAGACTTTTGAATTTAGCCTTGTTACACACCTATGACATACTATAACATATCTGACAGTATTCTTCTTTTAAAAAATTGTTTTTTTAACCCATCTTTTCAACTATACATTATTTACACTTTTAAAGACCTACGGTCTTTATTGTTCAGGTAAGAGTTCAAGGTGATTAAACTCCCAGGACAAAGATGAGTCTTTCCAAAAGGCGCTGGTTCTCATCTATGTGCTAAGGCCTTTTTTTTTTTAAACAAATTGCTGCTATAAACTTTTAAAATACAAAGTGAGAATATTTCTTTTAAAACTTTTCCTATTAATTTTCTTGTTTGCATCCAGCATATGAAAAACGTATTATGCTACCTAACTAGAAATGGAACTAAAAGAAGATGTGAAATTCATGTATCCCTATACTATCTTCATCTGAAAACAAGGGTTTATTTACATGGCATCTTTTTTCAATGCTGGGGTGAGCCAGGAGGGGCGGGGCCATCTCTACAGCATGGATAAAGAACCAGCTGGAGACCCCTCCACTTTTACTTGAGTATTATTGCATGTTTTACGTGGAGCTGTAAGGCATGAGAAAGGTGACCTGCAACTTTTAGGCGTTCAAGAAATTTTCCTTAAGAAATGCCATGTTTGGAATAGCTTCCAGAGATTGTTCCAAAACGAAAAAGTATTAAAGCTCATGCATTACATTTAGAAGCACAATATATTGGGGAAACATTTTCAAAAGCTCAAAAAAAAGGCAGTTTTTCCATTGAGTTAAATAATAAATAAGTGAGAATTTTGTTGCATATAAATGTGTGTTCAGAGCTTTTAACAGGCACGTCCTTCCGCAATTAACAGCCAAATCAGCATTCTTGGCCCCTCACCTATAAATGAACATTCTGGTTCTGCAACTTGCTCTCACACTCAACAAGCTCTAAAACAAAATGGCCTGCAAATTGGTTAAAAATCTGTAAACCAAAAATGCAATACGTTTGGCCTCTTTCAATAAGCCAAAAATTTGTATCAGCTTTCTGGAAAAGTGACTCAGAAGAACTTACACCCATTTTCACATGTAAGAAACAGTTATTCATAACATTGATGAAATAAAGTCTTTGACCGGGAAGGTGTGTGGCCTGTCACAAAGGAGTGGAGTGGTTCTCACCTTCAACCAACAAGTACAACCTTTTCAGCTCATCTAGTTGTGTTTGCTTTTCCTCAGGCCATACAGGACAGAACACTGTCAATCTTTCAAGAAAGGGTTTCAAAAGGTAATTTACAACTGGATGGTGCTATCCCTAATGCATTTTGCCTTATGCCCTCATTTTATGGACACAAATTAAAGACATTAAGCCAAAGGTAAGTGTACCACTCAAAATATACCTGGGCACTAGTGCTCAGGTCAAAAGCTATAGGATGTGCCAAACACAATTCCTCGCCTGCCTATTTGAGCACTAATGGCAGGGGCGTTCACATGCCTTTCTAGGGACCAAGTGTAAAACTCAGGCGAAACTGTCCATAGTCGAACTTGCTGTTCCATTCAGGTGGATCGAATCTAATTCTTGCTTTCCCCTTCTCATGCCTTCTGCTGTCTTTTTTACATCTGGTAATTCCCTCCATTTTTCTAGCACGTTTCATAGATTATAACACAAAGATCTTAAAGGAGGAAAAGGGCTAAAAAACATTAATCTTTGGAGATTTAGATGCTATCTATGGAATTCAGACATTTAATGACATCACGATTTAGGCACTTTGTATGAACCTTACTTCATAATTATATGAACATTATAAACCTCCCAAAAGTGATTGTTATTATTCTTTGTTAACTAGTAGTGATGATAAAATTTTCAACCTCTTCTATGTACATATATGCCTGCTATGCCTTCACCTGAATTCACATTAAATTTTCTAGTTATTTTGAACTATAAAATTCACAAAGATCTAGGAGCAGGCAGAAACAAAAAGAACGAAAAAGAGGGAAATTGATTGTGGGCAAGTAGCATGTGTTAATTGAAATAAGATTCTTTGCTAACAGAAAGGAAAAAAGAACCAAATTCAGTGTCTTGGAACATTTTGCTTATGGCAAAGATCAGAGTCTGATCCTTGGCCTGAGGGCCCTTCTGGTGCTCTGACCCCTGGTCTATCCACAGATAAAAGGGTAATGGCTGTGACAATGTGATGGATTCTCAGCCAAGGTCTAACCTGCAATGGATGCTCAGTGGTCACTAAAGGAATCACATGAACCAATGGATGAAAATCAACTCAAAGACTCTAACAGAATGAAGTCAACCATGGCAGAATTCAACAGATGCATAGTCCAAGATGATAAAAATTAAGTAGCTGGTAACATTTTGTGTAAGACTTTATAATCCAAATCCAAGAACAGCCATATCTTCACTCTATTTTACAATTACATACATATGTATTTTTTTCTCTCAGTGTTTGTGCTTCACCAGACATCAGCCATGCAAACTAGTAAATACAGTCAAGCACACAGAAATCTCCACATTCTATTACCAGTTTGAAAACAATTCTGTTGCCTTGGATTTACGGAAAAACCTTGAAATGACGATAATGCCTACCATAACTGTTTTCTGCTATAGCTTTGTACAGGTCACCTAAATAAAGTTGTGAAGAAATTTGAAGACAAAAATCCCTGTTTTTAATTGCTGTTAGCCCTCAGATTCAGCACCAAATCATAAAAAATTATAAAAATCACTTCCATGCCCAAATTTTGCATTCTTAGAAATCATTGCCCTGAAGTAGCATGATGAATTAGCTTAAAGTTTTTGACTGCAAGCACTTTCAGGCAGGATTTATGAATGGAGACATGTGAGCCACTCTGGCCAGCTTTGAAGCCCTATACTTTCTTCCTGGGCTATTTATAGAAAATGGATAGCCAGTGGAAAAGAGCACATTTATTTTTACAAGCCAGTCATGACATGACCAAAGAACTCGCTTCCTTTCTCTGGGAAGGTCATCTTCTTTAGCTGAGGGTACAGCTACAAGGACAGGGAAGAAAGGGACCCCTTTAGTCAATTGACTCAGCCTGAGTCAGTCCCAAAGACCAACTCCATAGGGTGACAGGCATTGAAGTCAACACCCTCATTTCCCAGGCATGACTCTATGTCTCTAGCTCCTTATGTCATCTCGATTATGACTAACAAGTAAAAATACCATGTATTACATAATATGCTTCAAAATCCTATGCTTTCAAAATAGGTTGTGCAGAGATGATAAAGTGCATTCTTATCATTTGTCCCACATTTCAAATAACACAACAAAGAAAAAGTGAATTTTCAAGGATGTGGCAAAATGGAGAGTGTGAGAAATATTGTTAAAGCTATTTTATTCTGATGGCCATGATACCCCTGAAATATGTAATGTGCCTGGACAGTTCCATGCAAATTTGGATACTTTTAAATATTTCCTGATTCTAAAATATCATCATGTACCTTGACAGAAATTGGATATTCTTTAGCACAAACACAGTTTTACAAACATGCCTGGTCTGTGTAGTACACATGGTATCTATTTGCAAACATGAAGTGACACAAAAACAATGTTTTCAACTAGAATGCCCTTTTGTCCATGTTATGTATGGTATATAAAAGCTAAGATAGGATGGGAAAGGGAAAGGTAAAGTGGGGGAAGGAAAAAGCAAAAGGAAGGAAAGTGAGTCCTCCTTCTCTCTTCCTGAGTTCGGGCATCAGAATCATTTGAAAACAATATGGGTATAATTTTATCCTCAAGGGGCTTCTGCTTAGGGACAAAGACACAGAGCAAGAAGAGAATTCTGTTTGCAGACCAAGATCTCCAACAAAAATTTTAAATGACAAATACAAGGTTTATTTTTTGTTCTCAAATGCATTAATCCTTTTTAGAAGTCTGTCTCTTGAAAGTTCCTTCTGAAAGGGGGGCGGTCCCATTTTACAAGGAAGGTATGAAATACTCATCAACCTATGTCTCTAGCTTCCAAAGCCACTTCTTTGAGGCTCTAGAAGAAACAATAATGGCATGCAAATAAATTTGCAGGTGGAAATATCCCAATCTCCACAATTGCCTTTGAATGCATGTACTGTATCAGTTACAGGTGAAGGATGACAGTCTGTAGTAGGCACAAATTCTCAGCCTCTGTACCCTAACAGGAGTCTCCTTGCACTTTGCAAAAGCCATGACAGTGACACCCATCTGCAAACGTGCAAAATATATTTACAATCCCATTAAGAGGCTCTAATTTAAATATAGACATATATAAGGTTAAGCTTTGTGTACAAATTAACACATAAGCATACTGGTTCCTCCAGGGAACTGTGTCAAGCCTCTTGGCTTATAAATATAGTAGCAATTAAAAGCACAAATGAAAACAGCAATATTTTTAGGAGCATCAGCCTACCAGTACTGAGGTAAGTGTTCATCTAGTTTATGTGCTTGATCTAAATTATACCATGCAGTCAAGACTTCCCATTCAATGACTTATTTGGCTCTTAACCAAAGGTCTTGTCAAGAAGTATTAAGTATTTAAATAAGCTACCTCAGTGGTTTGTGTTAATCTACAGTTGCCACCTCCAGTACAGGTTAGCATTTATAAGAAATGTCTTAAATAACACTGGCCAATGTGATTGTTAAAAAATATCTCAGGAGCATGTTCACTCATTTCTCCATAATTTAGGGTGACTGTTCATTACCAAAGTCTACATCTAAATGAAAACTTCAGTGTTTAAATAGGCAAAGGTAATCTTATTGAACTCAAAAATTTCAGTTACAATTCAGGTAATATGCTCCTGACTTTCATACTATATCTGCCTTACCTATTCCTGAGTATTGCATTTTTAAGTGAGGATAGATGGCATCGGTCTAGAACAGTGTCTTTTCACCTTCCCTGATGGCTGCATTAGGAACCACAGTCATATTAGTGGTTCTGCTCCTTCTCCTGGCAGAGAAGCCAAACGCTCTGTGTCCTGGTAAGCTACTTCCATGTTGCTCACAGCTTGAAACCAACATGATCTTCTTCCTTCCATTCTGGGTAGAATGTTAAACCCTGATTTGTAGTAAAACAGTTTACTCCAACTGCCCTCCCCTATATTTGAGGACCAGTCATTTGGGCGTTGCTTCAAAAGGCACATTTATTCCAGTGGTAATTTAAATAAGTAAAGAAGGAAAGAATAAGATTAAAAACAAAACAAACCAAAAAAGATAGGTTTTGTGGAATACATTAAAGTAAGTGGGCATCTGGGATCTACATAGACCACTGAGCTCCTCCCCAGTGGTCTAACGAGAGTCCCTAAGGTGAAGTAATTCACATTTGCATCATGGAACACAGGCCTTCAGGAAACACTGTTTGGGGAAGTACAGTGGTTGAGAACTCTCAAGCAGCTTGCCCTGGCGTCCAGTTAAAGTGTATGCAATGCAGAAGGGCTGCAAAATTCAAAACTACAAAAACAAATAAAATTCAGTGCGTATCACAGGCTTGATAAATTATGAAAAAGTCATTGTATATATTACTATTTAAATAACATCTGAGAAACATTTCGAAGTAATTAAACTTGTGTTCACATTCCATGCATTTTCTAGCAGGTTAAGCCCTGGGCTTATTTATGTCTTTATGCCTGTTTCCTACAAAGATCCATTCTTTTGACAAATCCAAGCATTCCTCAGACTGAAATGGAAGAACCCAGGGATTTGGTCTACTTACCCTCTTTAATGCGCACCTGACCTCACAGGGGCTACTTGTTATTACCGCTGGCACAGAAGATCATTGGAAAAGCGAATTGTTTGGGGTTTTATTTGGGATTTTATTTGCTGCCTTTGAAAATTCCCTGGATGTCACAGACATCACCAGAATTTTGTCCACGGGCAAAAACCAGTGGCCCTCTCCTTCCTGCTTGACCCATTTCCCTCTTCCAAAGCCCCAAGTGCATTGAAACCCCCGTCACAGCAGACTTTTTTCCCCCTGCGGCTCTAGAACAACCTCCTTGAGCAAAGAAGGAAACAACAAAACTGGAAAACAAACCAACAGTAGCAACAACAGAAAGTCCAAACAAATGGGCAAACCAGTAGCCTCTTGCAAGGTAGAGGCTCATTTTTTACTGGAAAATTCAGCACTGTTTAGGAACTTCTTGATGACCAGCCCCAGACAGACGACCAGCAGCAGCATGTAGCCCACAGTGCCCAAAAACGTGGGCGCGGCAGGCGGCGCCTTGAGGAACTGGCGCAGACCCTCCTCCACATAGTACACCTGGTCGTAGATGCTGAGGAAAGTGAAGATGTGAAAGAGCTGGTGGCTGTGGCCAATGATGTCAAAAAGGCCAGGTTGGATGCGCTCAGGGATCTTGCTCACGTTGAAGAAGGCGGCCACCACCAGCCAAAAGTAGCGGCGGTAGAAGTGCACAAAAAGAGTGGGGTTCTCGCCACGCAGATCAAACAGCCAGCTCTCAAGCATGATGGGGCAGGCCATGCTGAGAGGCATGACGAAGACGAAGGTACGCAGCGCGAACGGGTAAGAGCACCAGTCAGTGCGGCTCTTGCAGCAGGCCACAGTGCAGGCCACCGCCAGCACGAAGGCCACGGGCAGCACCAGTGCGCGGTAGGCAGCGATGAGGCGCGTGCAGTCCACGTGCCAGCCCAGGCGCTGCTGCACGTAAGGGGTCATCACTCTGGCGTCCAACAAGCTGAGGCTGGGTAGCAGGTAATAGTAGTAGGCTACCGTGCTGCCGAAGCCGTAGTAGCTGATGGAGGCATAGTCCAGGTAAAAGAAGGCGGCGCGCAGGCGCAGGGACAGGCAGCTGAACACGTGCGCTGTGCAGCTCATGGCGAAGGTCAGCAGCACGCCAGATGCATAGCACCACAGCGGCAGCAGCCACGGGTGGTGGAAGGGCACGTCAGGGCCGCTCAGAAAGAACAGGCGGCAGAACTTGCTTAGGAACAGCAGCAGGGGGATGAAGTGCGTCCAGAAGTTGAGCGTCTCGTTGGTGGGCTTCAGCACCGAAGCTAGGCACTCCTGCACCGTACAAGGTAGCCGCCGGTAGCCTGACAGTATGAAGCACTCCACAAAGTCGTCGGGCACCTCGTCCCAGCGCAGCAGCGGTTTGGCGGAGGCCGGAGAGTCCCCGGAAGCCGAGGGGTGGGAACGTGAGGTGGCTGCGAAAGCCGCCGAGGTCGTGGCCGGCGGGCCCTTTGTGCCCGCGCTCCGGGGCTGCAGGCGCCGCGGCATGGTGCCTCTGGCTTGGCTAGGACGCGAACAGGCGACCTCTGGCGCCGGCTCCCGCGCGCTCTGCAGCCCCCGCCGGCCGCCGTCGGAGCCTTTGTGCTCGCGCCGAGGGTGTCGTTGCAGGTTCAAGAGAAGACCTGAGCCTCTAATCAACCGTTCCTAAAAATAAGTAAATAAAAATAATTGGTTTGTAAACAGCCAGCGACTAGCAAGAGCGCGCGGGGCTCTGCGTCCCTTTCGGCAGGCTCCGTGCTATCGGCTCCTACCCGCCTGCGCTGCGGCAGCCCCAGCGGTGGCGCGGCGGACTGCGGCGGCGGCGCTGCCCCGGTGACTGGGCATCGTGCGGCGCGGGAGGCGGGGATGTGGGAGATGAGGGAGATGAGGCGCTGGAGGGAGGGAGGGACGAGCGCACCGAGAGAGGGCGGGGGCCTCTCCGGCTAGGGTTTCGCGGCCGCCTCCGGGGGTAGAGTTGTCCCCTGTCTCGAGTTCCGTGCCATCCTCCCCACCCCCTTCGGGCCGCAGCAGCCGGAGCTGGCCCGTTAATGATTGATGCGGGGGCAAAGGCTGCGCCAGAGACTGAGTCGCGTGGCGGTAGCGATGGCGAGGGTCGACGCCAGGGTTCGAAATCCGACAGCCACGCGTGTGTGTTCTAGAGGACACTAGATAGCCACGTTCGCTAGGGGCGGAGAGCTGCGGCCGGGCGAGCGAGGGGGTGGGGTGGGGGAGGAGATGGCGCCTGAGGCGCCTTGGCCGGGCCAAGCGAGGAGATGCGCTAACATTAAGTCGAGAGGTAGTGGTGGCAGAGACGCTCCGGAAATCGGGGCAGCTTTGAGACCGTGTCCGGATCAGGGTCGTGTCACTGTCAAAAACACGGGACTGCCTCTCTTTCCCGTGTGTGTGCGCGCGCGGGAGCGCGCGCAGCTCTCGCTGTGGACACCGCACCGAGCCTTAGTTTATCTTCTCTCCTATAGCGGGCTTATTCAGGTGCGTCATTAACCCCCCTTCTCCCTTGTCCTTGTCTGGTCCAAACGAACCATCCCATAAGTGGCCTCTGGTCGTTCTCACCAACCTTCGGGGGCTGCAGCGCAGTCATCCTCGTGTTCTTGTGTCTTTAACTGGGAATCTTGTTTGGAGCCTGAAGTCAGAGAACTCGGGGCCGCACTGCTCACCACCGCGCGATTCAGAGACTAACGATCTGCAGGTTTTCCTAAAGAAGGCTTCCGTAGCAGAGCTGTGTCTAGGAGGGATGAATCCTAGCAGGAATGGAGACAGTTCGCAGAGACTGGGAGGCGTTGGCTTGGGAAAATCCTATGCATAATTGACGAGCAGTACCTGGCAGGCTTGGGTGGCTGCAGGCCAGGGTATAGGAAGACTGAAGAACTGGAAACCAGTTGTGATGCGCTGCATGTGAAAATATACCCTTGAGCCTTGTAAAGGCGGGCCAAAAACCTGCCTGCTGTAAAGTGTTTACCATTTCATTTCACAGAAGTTTCTCTTAGTGATGCCCTGGGGGGTTTGACTGAGTCTACCGGCAATATAGTGTCATGGCAACAGGAGATAATTCTAAGGGACCAGACACTGTTCTAAGTGCTTCACAATTGTTAAATCTTTTAGATATTATTTTTCCCATTTTTACAGATGAGATGGAGGCACGACGACCATAATACGTAACATGCCCAATTGGTAGAAGGGGAAATTTGAACCTATGCAAACTGATTCTAAATCTTATGTATTCAGTACTTAAACCGGAACATCCAACAAACTGCTTCACTCAAAGTAAACTAGAAGGACAGTTTGATTTAGGAAAAGGCTTTCATTTGATAAATGAAAGGTGATCTTCATCACTACAGCCAGTATTGTAAGCAGGTCAAAGAGGATTCACTTAGTAATGGCTCAAGGAGGACCTAAGTTGTGGATAAAAATGACTTATAATTTAGAAATTATTCAGTATTAACAAATGTCTAACATTACTACAAGGTAATCGAAACAGTCTCTTTAGAAGGTTCAGCCTTCTCTCTGAAAAAACCTTTTCCACTAGTGCCTGGCTCAGCAAACTCTTATCCAATTAGGCCAAAGGTACACTTGCACCTTATGCCTTTCTGAGCTATCACAAATTCCTGATGAGTGGCTTTGAAATTAATGATATTTTGCTTAACTAGTTGCTTAACTAGCAAAGTGATATTTTGCTAATGACAGTTGGTTAACTAGTATTTTGTTTTAGTATTTTCTGTTTCTCTGCTCCTAGAGTTTTGTTGTTTTAAAGCCAAACCTAATTTCCTTTCATATGTGGACTAAACATCAGGCTAATTTGTAAAAGGGATTAAGAGTCAGGCATTTTGTTAATCAGGCCTAGGAATGATAAACCTGAACAGGGCAGGCCAGAAAAAAGTTTTTATATTCTCTTTGTTACTCCACAAATGACCTGAGCTGTGATCTGTAAAAAAATGTTGATTCTGTAATAATTCCCATATTTGCCAACCTCTTAGTTGCATAATTGGCTCACTTACGTAATTGGGGAAAATATAGTAGAAAGTTCATATCAAGTTAAATAATGTAATTGACTGTAAATGAATGTAAAACTGTAGTTAGATAAAGTAACTTTTATCTATGTGACTAATTGTGATAAGGCTGGCTATAATAAATTATGGTATTATTTAAAACACAGTGTTTTACAAAGTCAAAAAATCTGTCATAACCTTCTCGCTAGTCTTTCAGGAACTCATTGACATCTCTGCTTTCCTCTCTTTCCTCACCTGTGTCCCAGCCACATGAGCCACCAAACCAGTTGATGCCATGAACTATGTTCAGGAAAGCTCGCTCCCAGGTGCTGCCCTTACTGTACTGTGACAAATCCAAGTAAAAAGCAACTGAGGAAACAAACCCGACCTAACTTTATTTTTTTTAACCCAGCAATATGACTTCTTTAATTACTACCAATCTATTAATTGGTAGTAATTTTTCTTAGGTTTTTTCAGATATAAAAATGTGTTCTCCAAACCCTACACAGCCTGGGTTTTGTAGTGTGTGTCATCTCCAGGAAATGAACTGCCTCTTGTCAGTGAGAACCATGCTCAGGTCCCCTGGGCTTGGCTAAACAGATACAAGCAGCGGGCTCACTGCCATTGCCTGAAGGTGCACTGGGAGATAAAGCATCTCGAAGCTGGTGGCAGTGTTTAGAGGCAGAACTGGATAGTTTTCTCCCAACTGAAGGCTTGTTCAACTAATACCCCAAATGCAATTTGCGCAGCTCTGTGGAGGCCCTGTGCATTCGGGAGCTGAGGGGTCCTGGCTGCAAAATACAGTTATAGTCATGTATAGGAGATGGAGCAAACAGGACAAAGAGTTTGTCCATATAGTTTGCTTTGGTCATGTTCTTATAGACCAACTATAGGTTTATTTGTGTTTCTCTCTACAGTAATAATAGGAAGCGTGTATAAAAAATTCCCCAGAAAATTTGATAGGGACCATGTGCTATGTGTAAAACCTGCAGGGAAAAAATGCTGTAATATTTACAGATAATACACTGGTTTTAGGGGGAAATAATTTTTTTCTAGTCTCATTTTTAGCCAAATACAACCAACCAAACAAGCAAAACCCAGTGCTTTATTGCACCCAAGGCTGTATACAAAGACGGCTCTGTAAGGTTCAGTCCCTCTTCAGAAGATACAGTATAAACGAAGTGCTTTCCTTCCCCCCAAATTGAAAACAGCCATCACCTGAATAATATTATCACCCAAACTCTTCCAGGTCAGATATGGTTACTATCAGATTGTAGGGTCTGAGTTTCCTCATGGTGGAAAACCTCCTGGCAGTGGCTTCAGGTTTAACTATGGCAGCCTGTGAGCAAAAGTGCAATCGGAAGGCCAGGTGGAGTCTAGAAGCTAGAGGTGGGTGAATAAGTTTTTATCTGACACCATTCCTGCCTGTTTCCTGAGTGGTGACAGGGTTATCTTTTGCAGAATAGCTAAGGGAGACTTGTTAGGGTGTTTTTACCTTTTGACGTTCTACTCGGAATGACAACCTCATACTCCTCTCTCTCCCGCCAGTTTACCTATGCTCTCAAAAGTGGGGCACACAGACAGTTTTAATACATCTCTTTCTAAATGTACTTTGTATAGGTTTTTAAATGGAAGGTACATTTTATACTACTTGATATGTAGTACATGGAGATAACTTACAAGTAATATGCTGGGGCATGGGGAGGAGATAAAAGGGGTGGGATCAAAACTTCACTGACTTCTGCCCCACAGCCCACCACTCCTGTTTGTCCAGCCTGCTTCCATCCCCTCTCCTAGATCCAGGATGGGACTTTCCTTTCCTGCCTCTCAGGCTGCTGGCAAAGAGTGTTTTGGGGTCAGACCCATCAGCAAGCAGTCCCTCAGCTCTGACCAGACCTGCCCAAGCCTTCAGCCTCTCCCTCAGCTTTCCTGAGCTATCATGACAGTCTCCATTCTGGACCTACTTCTCTCAATTCTGCCCTTTCTGTTTCCTGGCTAGAGCCTGTGTATTCTTACAACAAAGGCCTCATGTTCCCATGTCATATGCATCCTAATTCAGAGATACCCTTCGGGGAGGAGATTGTCATTGGCTGCTGCTTGCTCTTGGTAGGAACTTTTCGGTAGTTTCCATTGACAAGTGTGTAGAGTTGATTATTGAGTTCTGTTGACAGTTGTGCTGGAGACACAGTGCTTTGCCCTTAACACATATTCGTGATTGGGGAAAATCTTTTCAGTTCTGTAAGCCTTTAAAAGCTTAGAACTTTGAGTCCTAGAGTCTTAGAATAGAGATGTCACTGACTCCTTTAAGTCATCTAGTACAACTCCCTTCCCATTTATGATAGTCCTTTCAATTTATTGATCATATACTGTATTTGTTTACTGGGATAGGCACTTTACATGTATTATCTCTAAGTCTCAGAATACTCTTTGCAAGGTAAATCTACTGTCCCCATTTTCAGACAAGAAAACAGATGCTCAGCCTTGAACATCTCCAGTAAAGACAATTATTACCTCATAGGGCCTCCTCTTCATTTTTAACTTTTAAAAATTGTGGCTCAAGAGCTTTTGTTATAATGAGTACAACTGATGGAACGAGAACAACCACTGTTGCATCTGGACCGAAGCTCAGTGGGGTCACTGAGTGAGGTCGCTCACTGGATCTGGTTGGAAAGTCCCCGACAAGACTGATGCCAAAAAAGGCAGGTGTTTCTGCAGTGTGTGACAGGTGGATATTGATTAGGCATGGCTGGAAGGTACATTTTATATACAAAGCATTCTCCTGTGAACAAATAACATCTGTTATTACCAGGAGACTTGCCATAGCCTCGATTTCTGTGAAGAGGCAAACAGCAGATTCCAAGATTTCATAGATGATTCTTGCACTTAGCATAGTATTATCGATTACTGTAATTGATTAATACAAAAAGGAAAATATGACATCATGGCATATAATATCAGCAGGAAAGCATCTCTGTTACTGAGCTCTGGGCTCAATTAAGCTCACTTGCCATTCATCTCATTTAGGTTTTTTACTCTTTAAAAAAAATTTTTTTTAATTTTATTGAGGTGTAATTGACATACAACATATTACTTTCAGATACACAACACACTGGTTTATCTGTATGTATGGAGAAATGATCACTACGTAGGTCTGGTTAACATCTGTTACCATACATAGTTTCTTTTTCTTGTGATGACAACTTTTAAGATTTACTCTCCTGGCAGCTTTTAAATATGCAGTACGGTATTGTTAACTGTAGTTACCATGCTGTAATAGACTTACTAATTTTTGGACGTTTATACTTTTTGATCCCCTTCACCCATTTCTCCCACTCCTTACTCCCCACCTCTGGCAAACAGCAATCTGTTCTATGTATCGATGTGCTTGGTTTTGTTTTAAATTACACATAGAAGTGATATCACATGGTATATTTGTCTTTTGTTATCTGACATTTCATGTAGCACAATGCCCTCAAGGTCCATCCATGTCATCGCAAATGGCAAGATTTCATTCTTTTTTTTATAACTGGGTAATAGTCCATTGTGTGTGTGTGTGTGTGTGTGTGTGTGTGTATCTCCACTCATCTATTAATAGACACTTAGGTTGTTTCCATGCCTTGGCTATTATAAAAAAATGCTATAGTGAGCATGGGGGTGCAAATATCTTTTCAAAATAGTGTTTTCATGATTTTTCAGATAAATACTACAAAGTGGAATTGCTGGATCATATGGTAATTATATTTTTAACTTTTTGAGAAAACTCCATACCGTTTTCCATTGTGGCTGCACCAGTTTACATTCCCACCAACAGGGTATAAGCATTGCCTTTTCTCCACATTCTCACCAACACTTGCGGTTTCTAGTCTCGTTGATGGTAGCCATGCCGACAGGTGTGAAGCGATACTTCACTGTGCTTTTGATTTGCATTTTGCTGATGATTAGTGATGTTGAGCATCTTTTCATGCACCTGTACATTTAAATTTCATAAATGATTTTTCTTTTCTTTGATATACAATACCTGTTTGTTGAAAATATTTATCAGCATAATTATCCAGGTTCCAATCACTAAACCAGCTGAAGGGTATTTCATATATATTGACTGTTTTAGAAAAACACCTTATGACAACACTGAGGTGTAGGAATTATTTTTTAGAATAATTTTTATGTTTCAATTATAGTTGGTGTACAATATATTAGTTTCAGGTGTACAACCACTGATTAGACATTTATATAAGTTGTGGAGTGATCACCCCGAAAAAATCTAGAAGCCCCTGGCATTACCATGCACAGTTAATACAGTAGTATTGACTGTATTGCCTGTGCTGTACTTCACATCCCATAACTGTTCTGTAACTACCAATTTGTGCTTCTTAATTCCATCACATTTTTCATCTAGCTTCCCAACCCTCTTCCTCTCTGGCAACCATCAAAATATTCTCTGTATCTATGACTTTGTTTCTGTTTTGTTCATTTATTTTGTTCTTTTATTCTGTATATAAGTGAAATCATATAGTATTTGTCTTTCTCTCTCTGATTTATTTCACTTAGCACAATACCCTCCAGGTCCACCCATATTGTTGCAGATGGCAAGATTTCATTTTTTTATGCCCGAGTAATATATTATCTTATATATGAGGTCTGTCCAGAAGGTATTCAGCCATGTAATGTGAAAAATAGAGACATTTATTGAAGAAGGTACAAGATACAAGAAACATTGTACATAGGACAAGATGCCTCAATCTCCTTCAGAGTAGGCACCTTGGAACATCACACAGTTCTCCCAATCACCATCAGCTGCCTTGTATTTTCCTGAATCTCGTTAATGGTCTGAAAAATCTTCCTTTTCAAAGGTGATTTTAATTTTGGAAAAAGCCAGAAGTTGCAGGGTGCCAAACCTGGGCTATAGTGGAGCAGTCACCTGGGTGATTTGATGTTTCTCAAAAGAACTCTGCACAAGACGTGATCTGTGAGCAGGTGAGTTGTTTTGATGAAGCTGCCAATCACCAGTTGCCCAGCTGCAGTCTTCTGAATCACCTGAATAGTTTCTGCAGAAGAATGTTCAAGCCTAACGCAAAAGTTGAGGCAGATTCCTTGCTCTACTTGCTCAGTCATTTTGAATGTGACAGCCACACAGTATATATGTTGACTCAATGCTGTCTACCACCCTCACTGACTAGCACAGTGAGGTCATCATTGTTGATGCATGTGCATTACAGTCCACTCTCCTTGGATGCCAAGTTACATCAATGTCACACAGACTGTTCTTGTTATATTAACAGTGGCTGGACTTTTTCCAGACAGGCCTGGAATGTACCACTTCTTTTTTATCCATTTATCTATTGATGGGTACTTAGGTTCTTCCATATCTTGGCTATTGTAATAATGCTGCAGTGAACATATGCATGCACATGTCTTTTTGATTTAGTATTTTGGATTTCTTGGGATAAATACCCAGAAGCGGAATTGCTGGGTCTTTCTTTGTCTCTTCTTATATATCCTTTGTTTCAAAGTCTGCTTTGTCTAGTATAAGTATTGCTAACTCACCTTTTTTTGTTTCCATTTTCATTAAATATCTTTTTCTATCCCTTTACTTTCAGTTTTTGTGTTTTTTGCTCTGGAGTGAGTCTCCTGTAGACAGCATATAGAAGGGTCTTGATACAGCCACCCTGTATCTTTTGATTTGAGTATTTAATTCACTTGAATTTAAAGTGATTGTTGAGCCTCCCTGGACCTCCATGCTTGGTGCTATGGCCTCTCCTGGTTCAACTACGGGGACCAGCTCATCCACAGGGACCAGCTCTTCCTGGGTCCCTGCACTGCCCATTTGCTCTTTCTCTTGCCTCCCTTTGGTTGCTGTGGCTGTTGCTGCCGCCACTTCTGGCGCCCCTGACGCCTCTTCTTCCCCAGGGTGTGGGGGATCTGTCCATGAAGGGGGTCAGGGGTTTGGGCTCCATTACCTCCCCAAGGGGTGGTTATGGTCAGCCCCACCCCTAGGGGCCATTTCCCTGTTAACTACCTGCCAGCCCAAAGAAGGGTGAGGGGGAAGGGCTGTCAGTCAATATTAAGGTGGTTGTTGTTGTTTTAAACAAAATGGAGAAGCAGAAGTAAATAAAGGGGTTTATCTAAAAAAATTAAATGATTGTCGATATATATGTATTTATTGGCATTTTATTGCTCATATTTTTTCTCTTTTTAAAGAAGTCCCTTTAACATTTCTTACAATACTTGTTTGGTGGTGATGAATTCCTTTAGCTTTTTCTTATGTGAGAAGGTCTTTATCTGTCATTCAATTCTAAATGATAGCTTTGCTGGGTAGACTAATCTTGGTTTTAGGTCCTCGGTTTTCATCACTTTGAATATTTCATGTCAATCTTTTCTGGCCTGCAAAGTTTCTGTTGAGAAGTCATCTGACAATGTCTTATGGGAACTCCCTTGTAGGTAACTAAGTGCCTCTCCCTTGCTGCTTTTAAGATTCTCTTTGTCTTTAACCTTTGGCATGTTAACTGTGATATGTCTTCATGTGGTCCTGATTGAGTTCATCTTGTTTGGGATTCTCTGTGTTTCCTAAACTCATATGTCTATTTCCTTTGCCAAGTTAGGGGAGTTTTTTTTTTAATCATTTCTTCAAGTAGGTTCAGTTCCTTGCTGTGTCTCTTCTCCTTCTGGTACCTCTGTGCTGTGAATGTTGGTACACTTGATGTTTTCCCAGAGTCTCCTTATACTATTCTCTCTTTAAAAGAAAAAAATTTACTATTGATTTTAGATAGAGAAAGGAAGGGAGAGAGAGGGAGAGAGAAACATGGATTTGTTGTTCCACTTGTCTATGCATTCATTGGTTGATTCTTGTATGTGCCTTGATTGGGAATGAACCTGCAACCTTGGTGTATTGGGGTGACATTCTAATTAACTGACTTACCTGGCCAGCGCAATCCTCCCTTTTAGGGATCCTTTTTTCATTTTGCTATTCTGAGTGTGTGTTTTCTGCTACCTTATCTTCCAAATCACTGATTTGATCCTCTGCTTCATCTAACCTATTATTGATTCCTTCTCATGTAGCCTTCATTTCAGTCTTCATTTCTGACTCACCTTTTTTGGTTTTCTCTCTCCATTGTTATGTTTCATATCTCTTTGTTGAAGGTCTCACTGAGTTGATGCATTCTTCCCCTACGTTCCTTGACCATCCTTATAACCAGTGTTTTGAACTCTACATCTGGCCAATAGCTTGTCTCCATTTTGTTCTTTCTCTGGAGATTTCTCCTCTTCTTTTGTTTGGGTCATATTCCTTTGTCTCCTCATTTTGGCAGCCTCCCTGTGTGGTTTTTATGTATTATGTAGAGCAGCTAGTCTATACCGTCTTGGTAGAGTGGCCTAATTCAGTAGGTGTCCTGTAGGGTCCAGTGGCACAGCCTCACAGAGCATTCCAGGTGGACCCTCCATGTTGGTTGTGTGCACCCTCCTATTGTTGAGCCTTCGTTGTTGTTGGCATGTGGATTGGAGGAATTGATGCCAGGCCAGCTTGTTCCAAGGACCAACTATGACTAGAGTGAAAGAGCTCCTATGCAGGGGCCCACCCCACAGGGCAGGACTCATTTCAGGGCTCTGGTGCCTGCTGAGTCCACCCTTTGACTATTGCTCATGGAGGTGGTTGTGTGGTGTTTCATTGTGGTTGGAAGTTGTCCACTGGGTGCAGTGGCTCTGGGACCTCTTGGGAGATATAGGCCAAGGTCAGCCACTGCCTGTGGCCTGCCCAGGGACACCTGGCATGAGCTACTGTGATTTGCAGATGGCTGCTCCTGGTGCTTGGAGATGCCCAGGAGAGGCCAAGCTGTGAATGGAATCCAGGCGCCACTAATGCAGGGCTTGGGGCTGCTTAGAAAGAGTTATGTGGCATACTGAGTCTAAATGCTGCTGGTTTGGCATTTGTGGATCTTTGAGAGATTTCAGGAAGATCTGCAGCATGAGTCAAGACAGATGGTTTTTATGAAAATACTGCTGGAAGTGGCTTGGGTGTCCTGTAAGTTGGTTGATGTGGAGACTCAGAGAACACTAGGGTGGAACAGAGACTGTTAGCCAGGTCGATGGAGACTCATATATGGCACCTGTCTGCAGTGCAGGGGGAGGGCTCGGCAAATGAACAGTGGCTTCTGCCAGCTCTTCAGTTGGGGAGAAAGCAGTTCCTCCAGACCTTCTCCTGACACCAGACAATTAAGTTTCTTCCTGTAGGTATATGCCTGGTGTCTTTCAAGCTGCTGCCTCAGCCCTTGAGCTCGGAGCAAGTCAAGTAAGTCCATGAGTTGGCCCTTTAAGAAGAAAGTCTGAGACTCCAAAAGCCCTTTATTTAACTTATCTATAATCCCCACTGTACTTTTACAGCCAGAAGTTATGGGGACTTTCCTTCCTGGCACTGGAACCCTGGCCTCGGGGGCCTGGTGCGGGGCTGGGACCCCTCACTCTTCATGGGGGAATCCCCAAAGCTGAAATATGGCTTTTGGTTTTAACTGCTACACATGGGTGTGGGGCACACCTGTTCCACATCTCTGCCCGTCCTACCAGTCTTGACATGGCTTCTTTATACCCTTAGCTGGAGGACTTCTGTTCAGCCAGATTTCAGGCAGTTCTCAGTGATGGTGTTGCTGTAGTTTAGTCTGTAATTTCGGTGTGGTTGGGGGAGGAGGTGAGTACAGTGTTTACCTACCCTCCCTGGAAGAGTAGGAAGCCCTACTCTTGTTGACTGGAAGTCCTGTATTGACCTTTTAAGAATGTATTTTAGTGAACTTGTGTTTATCTTTTGCCCCATTTATGTGAAAACCACAAGAATTTAGGGTTACCAATGAGTCTCCTCAGCACACAATTTATTTTTAAACAGTGAACAAGGAGCATTTTTTTTAGGAACGTCCTTATTGCCATTGTCACCTATTGGCACCTGAGCCTTGGGTTCCAAAAACTCCATGGTCTAAATGCATTAAATTTGTTTCAGTCTTGAACCTGCCCTGCCGCTCCCACCTTCCTTATTCCTCCCACCATTCTCAACAATAGAGGCCCCGTCCTCATAAGCAGTTGATTGACTGTCTAGAGGTGTTTCCTGGTAAGGCGGGGTATTGAATAACCCCAGCTATTTACTTTTTAAGCAGTAATAAACACGATATGTGTACAAAGTTGGTACTAGATCCTTGGAGCAGGAAAGAGCAGAGGAGCAAGTTGGAGCACAACAAAGAAAAGTCAGAGTCATCTTGTTTTCAGTTTTAGGGGAAATGGGCCTAAAGTTTTTAATGCAGCCACTTTGAGATTTCTTGTTGCCATTTCGAAAGAAGGAGCATTTCCATGCTGTTTCAAACACCATTAAGCTTTCAGTGTTTTCACTTTTAAGTAAATGCTAGGCTGACACCTGCACCCCATCGCTGACCCCCAGCCCAGGAGGGTCAGGGCTGGGGTAAGGGTCAGGCACCATCTGGCAAGCAACCCATGTAAAACTAAGCCTCGCCAGTCAGCCATGCTTGTTTATCTAAGTGATAACTGTCAATAACTGGACCGTTTGTTCTTGGCTTATGTCTCACTTTGTCTGATTTCTCTTTTTGCGTAATAATGCTTATGCTCACTAACTTTTGATGGACAAATACATTTGAATTCTAGAGAATGGAACTTAACCTTGTTTTTCACTTTAAATGGCGTGAATGGCCAGTCCTGCAGCTTGGAGGCTTCCTGATTATATTAACCTGATTTGATTGGGTTTATGTTGGGCGGGGAGTGGAGTGGGAAGGGAACAGCTCTTTGGGCTACGGTTCCGTCCACAAATCACATTCCTAACAGGTTCTTCAGCAGTGGGCATACCCTCAGTCTGCCACTATCAACTCCTTTACAGTAACCTCGTAGGGAAGACGGACTCGCCCAGTTATGGTAACACATTACAGCACAAGTTTGTTTTTTTAAAGTTATTTTTAAAATTAAAGTAATATCCAGTAATTGGATGTGGGCTT